GGCGCCGGTTTGGGATTCGTCACAGGATCCAGCGGATCCAGCGGATCCACCGGATCTGTCCGGAAACGGTGCCGGAGGCCGCTCTGGACTCGTGCTCTTCGCGCCGGGGGTGAGGATGACGTGAGTTCCACAGAAACTCCCTCAAACTAGGTGTGAGTGTGTCTGCGTATGGAGGAGGAGGAGGAGGAGGAGGAGGAGGAGGAGGAGGAGGCGAGAGGAAGGAGACGGAGGCGTCGCAGTAATTGTGACATCGCTCGGACGTGTGCGTCGTTTTTCTCCGCGGGGAGCATCCTGGATCATCCTGCGGAAACGAAACGCACGAAACCGCACAACGCACGGGGAATGGACTTCCGAGCGATGGCAAGCTTACAAGTAGGACATAGGGAAAGCACGACGGGAGGCTCATGTTGCGTGTATATCTATATACAGTCAACCCCCATAGCACGGATGAGCAATCTTCCAAGGTTGCCTTTGCACCGTTCCCTTCTCGGCCCATCCTTTACCGCTTTCGCTGGCCGCGCCCCGCTCACAGAGTGCCGGCATGGCCTTCCACGGCATTCGCACCCTTACCGCGCATCCGTACTATACGGGTTGGCTGCATTCTGCCTCTGGGGGGCCTTCACTGGGCCATGGCACTCACTGTCAAAAACCGTACGGGCTGAAAAGCTGGCTCTGGCTGTGGCAGGGGGGCGATGGGAGCATCAGTTCGGCGGCGCGCACAGGGTGGCAGGCGGAAGAGGCGGGCCTGTTTCTCAGAAGGCTCGGAGGGCCTCCCGCCTTCTGAGAAGCTGTCTCCTCCTCCTCCTCCTCCTCCCTCCCTCCCTCCCTCCCTTCCTTCCTTCCCCTCCCTCCCTCCCTTCCCCTCCCTCCTCCATTCCTTTTCCTTAGAAGTAACTTCTCCCGGTCGCACCCCGAGGCCTGCGTTTAGGGCGGGTTTGGCGTTTCGCCTGGGGCCTCCTCACCATTTATGACACTGAAGGTTAAACATTGACAACAGTTTCACAAATGGAGGGCAGGTCGTTTTCAAAATGTGGCTCTCGCTTTAGCGCCGCGCACATTCGTTGTAAAGCGTTGCAAGAGTCTAAGGATTGAGGGCGGGTGGTTTTCACCATTTGGCTCTCGCTTTAGCGCCGCCCACATTCGTTGCAAAACATTGCAAGGGTGTCACGGATTGAGGGCGAGTCGTTTTCAAAATGTGGTTCTCGCCTTAGCGCGGTGCACATATGTTGCAGACGTTGCAAGAGCTTCACGGATTTAGGACGGGTGGTTTTCACAATGCGGTTCTCGCCTCAGCGCCGCGCACACTCTTCGTTAACATTTGCCAGAGCGTCACGGGTTCCCATCAACGTGCCAGAAATGATGTTTTGGAAGGATTCAGGATTATGAGGGCGCAACAGTTACGTTGATTCGCGGTGTTAAAAAGCCTTGGAGTGGCTTTCTGGCACGATTGGAGAGGCCTGACGGCCGGTGCCGCCGACCCTGATCGAAAGGGCTAGGAGTGGGGGGAGGAAGCGGAGGATGAGGAGGAGGAGGAGGAGAAGGAGGAGGAGCAGGAGAAGGAGGAGGAGGAGGAGGAGGAGAAGGAGGAGGAGGAGGAGGAGGAGGAGGAAGAGGAGGAGGAGGAAAAGCACCTTTGTGTTGCCCCACGAAAGAAAGTGCGAAACCCGGAGTGTTATATTCTGATCTTGGTACGTGCACTCCCCCCGGAAGGATGAAGAACAGTGCATCTCGGCGTTGCCCGCTCGAGGAAACTGCGCCCCTGGGGGGGTGTATTTTGACTCGGGGCGCACCCATGGACGCCTCTGCGGGAGGAGAGAGGAGGAGAAAAGGAGGAGAGGAGCAGGAGGAAGGAGGAGGAAAAAGGAGCGATGAGGGAGAATAAGGAGGAGGAAGTGCATCCCGTGCGTGCCCGCTCGAGGAAAATGCGCCCCGGCGGGCGTCGTATCTGCCCCGCCCCCCCCCCTCCCCCCCCCTGCGAGGAAGGGATCAAAGGGAAGGGGCTTCCCTTCGACTCCACTACGACGTCGTTTAATTTCACTTTGGATAGCGCGCTTGAGGAGGAGAGCCCTGGGAGGGGGAGAGCGGAGACGACGGAGACGACGAGTCGAACGGAGAAGCCCCTCACACACGCCGACAGGGTCGGCGGATTAAGGGTCGTCAAGACGCAACAGTCAAGTTGATCCGTGGCGTTGGAATCCCGAAAACAATGTTTGGGCAGGCTTCAGGGTCCTCAAAAGGTTGACTTCCAACGAGGCAGTTCCCTTAGTGGAAATGAACCGTTGTAGGGGCCGATGAAGAGGGAGCTTGGGGGAATGGTTGATTCCAACTCGGTGATGCTTCTTGGGTTTACAGGTCCTCCTCCTCCTCCTTCTCCTCCTGCTCCTCCTTCTCCGCCTCCTCCTCCTTCCTCCCTCCTCCTCCTCCTCCTCCTTTTCCTCCTCCTCCTCCTCCTCCTCCTCCTCCTTCCTCCTTCTCCTCCTCGACGGGAGCTTCCGCTCGGCGGCGCGCCCAGGGTAGCAGGCGGAGGAGGCGGGCCTATTCTCGGAAGGGTCGGAAGGCCTCCTGCCTTCCGAAGGAAGCTCTTCTCCGCATGCCTTCGCTGGGCACAGGGACGGCGGCTCCTCCGCCTCCCCCCCCTCCCCCTCCTCCTCCTTCCTCCTCCTCCTCCTCCTCCTCCTCCTCCTTCTCCTCCTCCAGGTTATCCTTCTCCTCCTCCTTCCTTCTTCTCCTCCCTCGCTGGGGACAGGGGACGGCTGCCCGTGGGCAGTGATGTTCCAACCTACTGCAGCCTTGGTCACCAGAGAGGAAGGCTCGGAAGGCTCGGAAGGCCTCCTGCCTTCCGAAAAGCTCGCACGACCTTCGCTGGGGACAGGGACGGCTGCTCGCGAGCAGTGTTGTTCCAACATGCTTCAGCCTTGGTCACCAGATAGGGGAGTTCGAGCGCCGAGAAAGTACCGAAATTCGAGGGTTTTTGCGTGTCGGGCCCCGGGAGACGCTGTTTCGACACTCTTTCGACTCTTTTCCGGGTGCTCGAAATTATTTCTGGGACGTGGACTTGAAGCACGATGGGAGCAGCATAACTCTTGAGCAGGGCCGAGGGTCAGAGAGCGCCTTCCTCTGCAGGACCACCAAAAATCGGACGTCAAGGTTGTCAGACGCCTCGCCAGGGAAGCCGACGACGATGTGCAGAATCAAGCCATTCGCTCATGTCCAGAGTTTTGGCTTGGCGTTTGGCGCCAGGTGTGGTGCATCAAGCTCAGCTTGACCGGACAGGTTGGTGGCGCCCCCTGACGTCCATTTGGGGTGCTCTGCAGACCTGACCCCCCAGCCCTTCAGCCACGCGCAAAGGGAGGTAAGGGGACGGGGGAGGGCTTCTTAGAAGCACCCCGGCTTCCTAGAAGCCGCGGGCCTGATCTACAGATGTAAGGCCAGCGCCTTCTAAGAAGCAGCCTCCATCTAAGAAACCTTCCCCCCTCCCTCCGCTCCCTTGTGCGCGCCGCCAACCCCCGCTGGCGACCTCCCCAGAGGGGGTGGTCTCCTATTGCCCCCTTGTCCACAGGGGGGAGGCGGGGCCAGGGGTCTTGAGGTCCCCCTGGACCGGGGAAGGGAGCAGGGGGGTGCAGGGACCCCTCCCCCTGTCCCCAGGGGGACCGGGGAGGGAGGAGGAGGGCAGGGTGGGGCAGGGGCGAGTTCTCCCTTGTCCCCCTCCTTGTCCACAGGCGGGACAAGCGAGGGTAGCAGGGGGGGGGGGGGGGGCAATGGGCGCCCCCCACCTGCTCCCCCTCGTCCACGGGGGACGGGGGAGGGGGGGACCCGTCGGGGAGCCCCCCCGCTGCCCCCCTTGTCCACAGGAAAGGGTTTGGAGGAGAGGGGGGGAGGGGCAGGGTGGACCCTTCCCCCTGCAGGTAGAACGCCCCCCCCCGCCCTGTCTCGCTGGTCCACGGGGGAGACCGGGAAGGGGAGGGGGGGGGTCAGGGTGATCGCTTCTCTGGCCCACCCTGTCCACGGAGGGGACCAGGGCGGTAATCTGACCCGGTACCTCCCCCCCGTACCCCACCCCGTACGATAGGTTTGCGTCGTGTCGACCAGTGGCGACCCCAGCGCGGACGTTCAAGGTTGAACGCCGCCGGCGACCCAGAATCGATCGATGTTGAACGATTGGACGTTGCGGAAATGGCCGATCGTTCAAGGTTGAACGATCCCTGCGGTGTCAAAAACCAACGCCGGGGTCGACACGACACGAACCTGCCGTACCATCCCCCCCGGCCGGGAAGGGAAAAAGGTGAGAGGCTCGATTCAGATCTGCTCATTCCCCAATCTCTTCGGGGCTGACGATGACAACGACGACAGCGTCTCTCACACGCCGATGGGTCGGCGGATTTCAGCAGCCCGACTGTAAGTGGAGCTACTGTGGGGCACGATCCGCCTGAAGAGGTTGCCGATTTGGGCGGAGTCCCGCACAACAGCCACCGCCAATTCCTATTCCTCCTTGTAATGTTTTAACCCTCCTCCACCAGCTCAAGCCTCATGCTCCCCAGGGGTCCGCCCAAGAGCAAGAGCTCTTCCCTCGTGGCCCCTCCCCCTCCTGCTCCACCTCCTCCTGACCCTAACTTTCCTCCCCGCCCCCTCCTTGTGACCCTCTCCCCCGTGGTCCTCCCCGGGGGCGCCCTGAGCCCCCCCGACGATGGCCGACGTCGTTGTCGTCGGGGTCGTCGTCGTCGGGGTCGTCGTCGTCGTCGTCGTCGGGGTCGCCGCCGCCGCCGCAACCGAATGCAATCTCCGGAGGTCCCGCGAGGCCTCCGTACGCACATGCCCCCTGAGTCCCCGAAAGACAGAAAGTAACAGAATAATGCTTGATACCATGTTCAAAATGCCGCAGCCGAAGTTGATTAGTAGGTCGGCCCTGCCAAACCAAGGGTGCCCTTTGTGTCCTGCGCTTCGCGACCCATGCCTTCTGCATTCCTACGGCAGTGGTTCCCTCGAAAGGATGATGTGCCCTCTCGCGTGTCCTGTCCTATCAAGCTCGATTGTAATGGGCGGCGACGAGACGGCGGCGGCGGCGGCCGAAGCGGCGGCCGAGGCGGCGACGGCCAGCGCGCGCGCGCTCGCCCCGAGGGCGGCGCGAGCGATGGGGGCGAGCCGCCCACCTGGGCCCACGTGTCCCCGCTGATCGAGCGCGGCTCCGTGCTGCTCTCGGAGCCACCCTCGGGAGGAGGAGGAGGCGGGGTGGGAGGAGGAGGAAGGGGAGGAGGAGGAGGAGGAGGAGGAGGAGGAGGAGGAGGAGGAGGAGGAGAGGCGTTCTGGGCTTTCCGAGAGGGGGGGGTCTTGTGCGTGCATACTTCAGAGCGCCGTGCACGCACGAGCGCGGGCTACGATTGCTTTCCATACAGAAGAGAGGGGCACCATTCCTCGCTTTCCGCAACCTTCTTGGCTCCCATGGCTGGCTCCGCCGGGCCGCGGCCCCCACTCGCGCCGCGGCGCGTCACGTGGGCCGACGGCGGCGGAGGCAACGGCGTGCCCTGGCGCGGCGGCGCGGGCGGCGCGGGCTCAGGGGGCGACAAGGTCCTGCCTGGCCCGCGGAAGCCCACCTGGGGCTGCGGCCGCTGCGGCGCCGACGGCAACTGGGCCTGCCGCCTGGCCTGCCGCGGGTGCGGGGTGGCGGCCCCGCTGTCGGTGCGCCAGCGCGCAGTGGAGGCCGCGGCTGGAGCGCCTCCAGCTGCGGGCGCACGGGGTGCGGCGCCGAAGGCCGCGCCCAAGGCCAAGGCCAAGAAGGAGGAGAGCGGCGCAGGGCCACTCGCTGGCAGCGCTGGCGGCGGCGCCCAGGGGGCGAAGGTCCAGCAGCCGAGCGCGGAGGACCTGCTGGCCCAGCTCGAGGCGCGCGGGGTGGTCCTCTCGGATGCGGACAGGGCCAAGCTGCTGCCCAAGCCGCCTGAGGAGGCCCCAAAGGAGGAGAAGCCGCGCACGCACTCCCAAGTGCTGCAGGGGCTCCTCTGGAAGGTGGAGCGGCTCGGTAAGCAGGCCAAGTCCAGGAGGGGCGAGCAGGAGGCCGCTGAGGAGGCCGTCAGCGCAGCCCAGGAGGAGCTGGAGCTGGCCAAGCGGAAGGTGGCCGAAGCTGACAGAAAGCTGGCAGCCGCCCAGGACGAGCTGGAGCAGGCCAAGAAGGTCCAGGAGGTCGGCCTTCCGCCTGGGACCAAGTCGTCCAAGGCAGGCGATCTCGCCAGCGCCCTGGAGGGGGTCCGCGCCCTCGCAAGCGTGCTGCGGGAGCAGGACGGGGCAGTCGGCGAGGCCATCCAGCAGGCCAAGGCCGCCCTCGAAGCCAAGGCAGCTGCCCTGCGGCAAGAGGTCGACGCCGAGCAGGCCCCGCCTCCCGAGGACGATGTCGAGATGGCGAAGGCACCCGCGGGGGTCCCTGCTGGCGATGCTGGTCCTGCTGCTTCAGGCGATGGCGGTGGGGGCAGCAGGGTCGACGCCGAGGGGGGGGGCCTTCTTCGAGCAGCTGGCCAAGCTGGAGGGCGAAGGCCGCCGCAAGCTCGAAGAGGTCTGCCAAGCAGCGGGCCTCGCCCTCCCGACCACCAAGAAGCTCAAGGGAGGCGGTGGCGCGGCCGTCGAGCGGCCAGCCGCCGCAGCCGACGTCGGGCGAGGCCCAGCGGAGGCTTCAGCGAGCGAGGCGCGAAGGAGGAACCTGGAGGTTGGACACGGCCAACACCACCTCCAGGAGCAGCATGATGAGATGGCTGCATCATGAGGCTACCGCCGATGTAGTCTTCCTGCAAGAGGTCGCAGTGGCGCCAGGCGCGAAGGCGGAGGCCGAGCAGGCTTGCCGCAAGGAGGGCTGGAAGGTGGCCTTCAACGCGTCGGTGGTCACCGACAAGGGCGGCCTGTCCAGCGGCGTCGGGATCGGCGTCCGCGCCCACATCGGGATGAGCGACCCGCCCGCGGGGCCCGCCCTCCCGAAGGATCGGGTAATCGCCCGCTGGGTCAACTGCGCCGTCAGAGGAGGATTCCTGGCGGTCTCGGTCTACCTGGTGACGGGCAGGGGCCTCGACGGCGAGTCGAAGCTCGTCCTCGGCCAGCTGGGGCGCTACCTGGCCAGCACGGCCGTGCCGTTCGTGATTGGCGGCGACTGGAACTGCAAGCCGCGCGAGCTCCAGGAGTGGGGCTGGCTGCAGGCGGTCGGCGGGATGACGGTCACGCCAGGCGTCGCCACCTGCCGCAGCGGGGGCGGCAACGAGCTGGACTGGTTCGTCGTCTCCAGCGAGCTGGGGGAGCTGGTCAGGGGACGCAGGCGGCTCGACGAGACTCTCGCGCCCCACTGGCCCGTCCGCCTGGAGCTGGGGCGGCGGGGCGCACCCGAGCGGCGGCCTGTCCTCAAAGGGCCGCGCGCGTTCCCAGCCGAGCGGCCAGTGGGGCCGCGACCCAGGCCCCCCGACTGGGGCCCGCTGGTCGCACGCCTGCGCAGGGTGCTCGAGCAGCTGAGCTGGCCTCAGCCCGAGGCGACGGCGGCGCTGGCAGCGGCGGGCCCAGACCCTGTGGGAAGCGCAGCGGCGGGCCGAGAGGATCGGCCGCCAGCCGCCCAGCAGGAAGAGGGACCTGTCTTGGGCGCCGAGGCTTTCGCGACGGCGGTCGACGACGGCGTGCTGGGCCGCTGCCGCCAGGACGCGGGCGCGGAGTGGGCCGACACCTTCAGCCTACTTCTCGGCCCAGCCCCTCTCACCCCCAGCGCGACCGAAGGGATGGGTGAGGGGGAGACTCCAAGCGACCCTAGCGGGGTCAGCGAGCAGCCTGCGGCGAGCTCTCCCACGGCGGTAGAGAGGGGTGACGCGGTCTCTCTGACGCGAGGGCCTCGTGGCCCCAGTCCTGCAGTCCATGGGCTGGAAGGTTCGCAGAGGGGAGGGACCAGCCACGAGGAGGAGGCTGGGTACCCGACGTTCCCCGAGGATGTTGTGGGGGGCAGCTTGCCGCAAGAGTCGGTGAACGACCTCTACGGGGAGTTCGCCAAGTTGATGGAGTCCGACCTACTGGGTGCTACCACATCGGGACCCAGGAGGCGGACATATACACGGGCCGAGAGGCCAAGCCACGGTCTGTCAAGCAGGAGGTGTTCTTGCCTTGCAGTGGCCCCCACGCGCGCGGGTCCCCCGAGGCGGCCCACTGGCGCAGGGTCGGCGCGGTGCTCTGGGAGGAGCTGGTCACGAGGAAGCGGCTGCCCCTGCCGAGCGCCAGGGCCGCGGCTTGCCAGCAGCTCAAGGCCATCCACGCCAAGATGGGCAGCAAGCTGGCCTCGTCGGCGTACGCGAGAGGCGATGCCCTCAGCCCGCCTGAGGCTGCCAGGTGGAGGAGGCGGCTTCGGAAGATGTGGGAGCTCACGTTCGCGGAGGTCGAGGAGCTCGAGGCCGAGGCCAGGGAAATCGCAGGTCGGCTCGAGGCTGGCTGCGCGAAAGGCCGAGACCTGCGCTGGCGCGCCTGGGCCAGGGAGGCGGTGCGAGACGGCGGAGGGGCCGCCCACGCCATCTGCCGAGCGCCGCAGGGCTGGACAGCCGACCTGGACGGCGGCAACGGGCCTGCAGGAATAGCGGCCACCCTCGACAGTCTGCTGGAGGAGTACCAGGGCATCTGGCAGCACGGCGAGATCCAGCCGATGGACCTTGACGAGGCGCTGCCAGAGGCTCACCTGGAGGGGCTAGGGCAGGCGCCTACGGCAGCGGAGATCCGCAAGGCGGCGCGGTCCTTCAAGCCGTCCACGGCCCTAGGGGTGGACGCCATCAAGCCCCAAGCTTTCGGCCACCTCAGCGACGGAGGATTGGAAGCGCTCGGGCCGCTGCTGCTCGTGCTGGAGGCATCTTGCCGAATGCCCGAGCAGGTGAACACCCTGCTGGTGTTCTTCCTGGCGAAGCCCGACGGAGGCTGGAGGCCGATTGGGCTCCTCTGCAGTCTCATACGGTTGCTGGGGAGGCTGCGCAGGGTCGACGCGGTCGAGTGGGAGTCGGCGCACAGGCGGGACTACTTCTTCGGAGGGGCGGGGAAGTCCTGCGAGGACGCGGTCTGGCTCCAGGCCCACGATGTCAGCGTGGCGGCGGCGATGGAGCAGCACTCCATGTCGACCATGACGGACCTCTCGAAGGCCTACGAGCGGGTCACTCACGAGGGGCTGGTCGCTGCTGCTCGCCGCCACGGCTTCAGGCTGCGCAGGCTGAAGCTGGCCCTCCGCAGCTACGGCGGCCCGAGGGGGCTCAGCCTCAGCCGCTGGAAGACGGACGCGATCAGGGTCGGGAGCTCGATCGTGGCGGGCTGCGGGTACGCCACGACGCTCCTGAGGGTCGTGCTCCTCGCCGCGATGGACGCGGTCGTGGCCCAGTGGACGTCGCTGCGGGCCTACGTGGTCGTCGACGACATCACGCTGGCCGTCTGCGGGAAGCTCAGGGATGTGGAGTTCACGGCCTTCGGCGCGACCAGAGACCTCTGCCAGAGGCTAGAGGCGTTGGGGCTCAAGGTGTCCCTGACGAAGGGCAACATCGTGAGCAGCGACGAGAGTGCAGGACGGCGCGCGGCCCACCGCCTGCGGCGCTGGGACTTCAGGCTGCGGCGGGCGGTCAAGAACCTGGGCGCCGACTTCGGCATGAAGCCCAGGGCGTCGTGGTCGGTGCTGAGGAGCCGCATGGCCAGGCTGGCCGTCCGCTCGTCACGATACATGGCGCTCAGGCGGGCAGGTGTCAAGCTGGGCAGGATCTTCAGGAGTGGCGGCCTGGCCCCGGTCCCCCACGGAGCTTGGGCCGTCGGCGTTCCGACGGCGATGCTCGAGAAGGCCAGGGCGGTCAACGGCCAGGCGTTGGCGGGGGCCGTGGGCAGCAAGAGCAGAACGCTGCAGTTCGCACTGCAGCCAGACCAGGGCTGGAAGGCGGACCCCGTCTTCGCGGCCAACAGCCTACCACTGGAGGCGTGGGCCAAGGCGGTCTACCTTGGCCTGCGCAGCGACGGGGGCCTCGAGAAGGCCTTCAGCGCGGCGCAGCCAGAGTCCTGGGGCCAGGTGCGAGGGCCAGCCGACGCAGTCAAACTCACCTTCCGCAGGATAGGGTGGGAGCCAGCCGCGGCGTCTGGCTGGCGATGCTGGGTCACGGACGCAGGGGAGCAGCTCGACCTGAAGGTCTACAGCCCCAGGAGGCTGAGGCAGTTCATCGAGGCGGGGATCCAGCGCTCGC